GGGTCATACAATGAAATACATTTTGGTTCCTAGCTTTACATTTAAATTTCTTTGTGAGAAACACAAGCAAAACGGCATATGTAATCTTATAGCTGCATATATAGAACTATGTACAGAGCATTATTGGTGAGTCTACATCTGTCTGAATATTGGACTTGAGAATACTTCACAGAAAACATGATTTCTGACTGAGTCTTGACAGATTAAAAAAAAATCCCCCGAGGTGGCAGAAGTCCAGGCAAATGTTGAAACACTAGGGAATTGCAGAAGCATGAATTGTGAGACAGGATCTGTTATCTGTTCGTGGATTCAAGATTCTGTAGATAGATCGATCACATGATTAAATGGAGAATGCATTTTGGAGATTGGAGTGATAATAGAGAGTAGAAGCACTGGTGGGAACCAGAGGGAAAATCCAGTATAGGCCATTGAGGAACCTGGACTTTTTTCCTGAGGTGTGGAGGAAGCTGTTAATGGATTGAAAATTCAGATGTGGGAGAAATAGACTGTTTATGGTGAAATTGACAATAGTGTGGATGGAAGGTAGGAAAACTTTAAACTCAGTAGTTGAAGAAAATAAAGTCAGGGAAAGGGGGGCCTATTTGAAAAGTAGAGATTTGGTGACTGCTTTATTTGAGGGCTGTGAAAGGAATTGTTAAAGATCTTTGACTCTAAGATGTCTGGCATAGGTGGCTGAATAGGTAGACTCCATACTTGTCAGGATGGTCTGAGTGCCCCTTTTTTTAGGATTGGGAGGATTGGACAACAAGTTCAGCAGTGTTGGAAGAACACTGTGAGTTGTTCAGTTCTAGGAATGTTGAGTTTGTGATGTTTGTGGAATGGAGTTAGTAATTAAGAACATTAAGCATACTGGTTGTCCTAGCCATGGAAACGGTTACAAACACCAAAGGTTTAGTATGCAGTAAAGAGCTGTGAACTTGGGAATGAATGGAATGTCTGAAGAATAAGAACTCAGGGGGCTGGAGAGACGGTTCAATATGGAATACCACTTGCTGCATAAGCAGGAGGACCTGAGTTTAAAAAAATCCAAGAATGGGCAGGGCGTGGTGGCGCACACCTCTAATCCCAGCACTCAGGAGACAGAATCAGGCGGATCTCTGTGAGTGAGTACAGTCTGGTCTACAGAGCAAGTTCCAGGACAGCCAATGCTAGGTAGAAAAACCCTGTCTTGAAAAACAAAACAAATCCAAGAAGGTCTGGTTATAAATGCCTGTAAGCCCAGCATTTGTGGGGTTGAGACAGGCAGATCTTGGGAGCTACTGGGCAGCCTGCCTAGCCAAGTAAGCACTCAGTTCAGTGAGAGACCTAGTGCCAAGGAAGTAAGTCAGGAATAGAGGAAGACATTTGATGTCCTCCTCTGACCTCCATATACACTCATATAGGTGCATACACCTGCATAGTTATGTATATGTGCTACACACACACACACACACACACACTCACACACACAAATAAAAAAAATGGTCAGAGAAGCAAGGGAAGAAATTGGAGAATGAAAACCATGGGAGAAAAGATATCAAAGTAGATGTGGCAGCCCTGACAAATGTTAGAGCAAAGCATGGCAGATTAGAAAAGTTTTGACTTACTATAGCAATTATGAAGGAAGTGTAAGGAATATGGAAGGAACATTTGAAGAATGGGTAGGAGGAAGAAGCAAGATATTACAACATACTAAGGGGTAATTGGTGTGGTGGGGATGTGGGACTCATAGTGAAGGCATTCGTCTTAAGGAATTTGATGGTAACTGGAGACGGGTCACTAGAATAATACCTCCAGAGAAATCCAAGGTCAAATGGACTGGACAGTAGTTTCTATTATTAATTTTGAGACAGATTCATTCTTTTTTCTTTATTTTTATTTTTAAATTTAAATTTAGATTAGAAACAAGGTTGCTTCACATGTCAATTCCAGGTCCCTCTCCCTTTCCCTCCCCTCCTCCCAAGCACTCCCACCAACCCCCCCAATATCCCCTCATTTCCCCAGGGAAGGTGAGGCCCGCCATGGGGGTATCCATAGTCTGTCATTTCATCCAGGGCAGGGCCTAGACCCTCCCCCAAGAGTTCAGGGTGAGAGTGCATCTCTCATTGTTGGATGGGTGCCCAAAGTCTGTTTGTATACCCGGGTTAAATACTGATCTACTACCCAAGGCTCAATAGATTACCTAGACCTCCTCACTGACACCCTCTTTCAGGGGGTCTTGATCAGTCCCATGCTGGATTCCCAGCCATCAGTCTGGGATTCAAGAGCTAACCCTTGTCAGGTCAGCTGTTTCTGGGGGTTTAACCAGCTCAGTCTTAACCCTAACCCCACATCTGACAGAGGGCTGATCTCCAAAATTTACAAAGAACTGAAGAAGCAAGGCTCCAAAACACCAAATGATCCAATTAAAAAGTGAGCTACAGAACTAAATAGAGAATTCTCAATAGAGGAGTCTAAAATGGCTGAGAGGCACTTGAGAAAGTGCTCAACATCCTTAGCCATCCGGGAAATGCAAATCAAAACAACTCTGAGATACCATCTTACTCCTATCAGAATGGCTAAAATCAAAAACACCAAGGACAATTTATGCTGGAGAGGTTGTGGTGAAAGGGGAACACTCCTCCACTGCTGGTGGGAGTGCCAACTTAGACAGGCACTTTGGAAATCAGTATGGAGATTCCTCAGGAAAATGGGAATAAACCTACCACAAGACCCAGCAACTCCACTCTTAGGCATATATCCAAAAGATTCACATGCATACAACAAGGACATCTGTTCCAGTATGTTCATAGCAGCATTATTTGTAATAACCAGAACTTGGAAGCAACCTAGATGCCCCTCAACTGAAGAGTGGATAGAGAAAATGTGGTACATTTATACAATGGAGTACTATTCAGCAGGAAAAAACAATGGAATCCTGAAACTTCCAGGCAAATGGATGGCACTAGAAGAAACCATCCTGAGTGAGGTAACGCAGTTACAAAAAGACAAACATGGCATGTACTCTCTCATAGATGGATTTTAGACATAGATCTGGGGAGTGCCAGCCTACAATCCCATGGCCAGAGAGTCTGGGAAACAGAACCTTCATTCAATGGCTGATGGAAGCAGAGGCAGACTCCCACAGCTAAACACTGAGCTGAACTCAAGGAATCCAGTGACAGAGAGGGAGGACTGATGAGCAAAGAGAGATTCATTCTTACTACCATGTTTCTCTGTTGTGTGATGTTGGCAGTGTGATGTTGTAGTCTACAGATATGTTGAGCTAAATTCATACCTATCCTGTGAAATAGGCAGCCTGTTAGCTACAAATTGTAGATGCCTGCAACCAAACAAAGCATAAAAAAATGACGAAGGCTCAGAGATACTCAGCAATTTCCCATGAATAGTTGTTAAAGCATGCTATATCTCAGTAGGTATCTAGTGCTACTGAAAATATTAAAGAAATGTGAGTTTAGCCTGGTCTTTTGTGAGTGTAAGTTTAGAGAGAAGTCCACATTTAATTTGGATATTTGAAGTCTTAAACAAGTCCAAGTGTTAGAAATTTGACAGGTGTAGAATAGAAATTTTAGTAAAACAGGATTGGGTGGTGGTGGTGCATGCCTTTAATTCCAGCACTTGAGACATAGGTGGATCTCTGTGAGTTAGAGGCCAGTCTGATCTATAGAGTGTGTTCCAGGACAGGCTCCCAAGCTACAGAAAAGCCCTGTCTCAAAAAAACACAAAAAAGAAAAAACAAAAAAGTAAAACAGATTTAAACATAAAGTAATATTCAAAGAAACAATATATTTAAATCATTCTGTGAGGTCAGTTATGATAATATTGTGTTTATTTTATGCTTGCCACTTAATTAAAAGAAGATAATTGAAAAGAAAAAAAGGATAGAGATTTTAGGCAATAGCTAATTTTTACTGTGTGCCAAATTATGAGTTAAATACCTACATTGTGAAATTCCTCCAGCAACGCTATGAGGTAGTTACTATTAGCTTCAATGAACAGATACAAGACTGAAGTACAGAATAGTTCAGTAATTTGGTCAAGGTCATATAGTTACTGGGCTTTGGATTTCTTCAAGCGTTCAAACTTGTAAAAGAGTAAACTGAGGCTGAGGGAATTGCCATTCAAATCTAGGCTTTGTCTGGCACTAAAGTACCACACTGTCTTAAGCATCCAATTGTCTAGTAAAATAGAGAATATGCTTGTGTTTTTACAGATCCATTCTGTAAGACAAGAATAGTCCCTGGTTTAAGGTGATGGCAAGAATTTCCCATTATTCCAGGGAATTAATACTGAGACCTGTTTTTAAATAACATACCACAGAGTATAACACAGCAGAGCAGTTGTATAAAGCTTTACAGTGAAAACAGAGGGTACCAAAAAAGAGCTGCTTGGGAGTGGTAATGGTTGAGTTCTCTTGTGACTTCTTCAGGTGGCTTTATGTTGGCAGACGTTCTTTGCCTTCCATGGGGAAGATTGTTTGTGAGGGTTAATTGACTCAGAGACCATTCTTTCCTTGGCTTAAGATCTGCTAACAAGCTGTTCTGACTAATAAGCCATCAGCCCATATTTGTAGACTATAAACATTATTCTAACTGGAGACTGGTAGAGCAGACTGTGAGGCTGGGAGGAACAGCTTAATTGCTTTCCCTTCAGAGTTGACTGTCTCCTCAACAGAAACAACACGTAGAACAGGGGAAGCAGATGGTTGCACTGCCTAAATTCCCACTGCTGTACTCACTTGTCACTGACAATGTTTATCTAGTGATTGGGATTTTAATTATAGCTTGATCCCAGTCTTGATATATGGTGTATTATTAATGTTTAATAAGAACATTATAATTCTTTTTTCAGTGATGCATCTTAATTTTGTTTCTGTTATACCTGGAGACTGTATTGTATGTACATAGCCATATGAACTCTGATTTTGTAGGATTTTTTCCAGATCTCTTTTTCTGTGTTCAATAAATTAATGGAAAGGGAATGAGCAGAAACATATATGGTATAGCAAGTGGAAAGATAGGCTTTTATTATAATCACACATATTATGTATTACTAGGTATCAGAGCTGTGCAGGATAACAAGTTATATAAAATGCATCTCATGCCCTCAAAAAGCTTATTCTTCCATTGAATCAGTGAGTGGAACCTTGCTTCCTAACCCCTGGGTGATTCCTGAACTAGACTGGTTAGTTTTCCTTAACAGTGCAGCCTAACAAGATAAATCCCAGAGTAGTGAAGTACAATTTTTGAGATTTTGGTACCCTGAAATAATGAGATAAGACTAATAATGCCAACACTGATATAAACAATAAGAGAAGTGGGAGGACACATAAAAATTTCAAAAGAAGTAATACATTGTAGATAGAGTTGAGGGAGGCATTTGTATGACTCAGCAAAAAATGAGAAAGTATCTTTAAATCAGTCTAACACTTTAAACAGAAGGGTACCTGTTCTTTTACAATAGGTGGGAAAATGCTTATGGGAAAGATAAAGGATACATTTTATTCAGTACATTTCTTCCACTTAGAAAGTTTCTTTTTGCTTGGCCTGTGAATTTTTGGAGAGAGCAAAAGGACCTAATAGTAGGTTAAAGAGACAGAAGAGGCTAAACCACTGGCATCCCACAAGGCAGAACAAGCTGTAAGGAAGATGGAGGCACTAATAGCTTTAACAACTGAATAAATAAAGCCTTTCCTCTTGAAAAATGCATTTATGAAATATTTATCCAACATTAAATATTAACAAAGAATTAATGAAAATATCCAAAACACGTTATCTTCATAGGAAGCCTCCACCCGTTTAAAAATGCTGTTTAAATCTCAGAATCACATCAGATGTGATTCAGTGAGAAATTAGTATTGGACTGGGGGAGGGTAAGTATTACAAGAGAGCTGATAAATGGACATGACCTCCAAGTGAGGTCAATTAATTGGTAATTTAACAATTTTGTGATTGAACAGACTGCTAAATGTCAACCCCCCTCAGTGAGACCTAGCATTTCTCCAGTCCCTGAATGTATGTGGGAAGAATAAAGAAAATGAAAGCCATCTGTACTAGATCCAATGTTGGCATTGTGCATATACTTCCTCTGCTTAGGGGCTCTAGTGAGAAGGATAGTACCTTCCACCTGGCATTGGCTCTGAGTGGCTTTGTGAATTCCTTTGGTCTATTATGTTGGTTGGTACTTTGGCTTCTTCGGCACCCAGCACCAGCTGATGCCCTGATCTGAGTCCCAGTTGGACAGCCTTTATTGCTCAGCACTGTAGCTGTCTCCAGAGCATTGTTCTTGAGACTTCCAACAGGGCAGATTTGTGTAGTTGGCCCATCTGGACAAGATCTGTAACAAGTAGAGCTCTGTGCAGTAAGCTCATCTCCATAGTCCACCCCCACCATCCCCGCCTCCGGGCTGCAGCAGCCTGACACCCCAGCCCCATCAGGGACAGTATCAAAGAGATACTCTCTGCTCCTTTCAAAAGGGTATTGCTTGTGGCCTCTCATTGATTGGCACTACCTGGGCAGAACTAGGAACATAGGGGCTCTCTTCCCTTTTCAATTTAATCTCCTCCAATAAACCAGTTGTAAATTTTTGATTCTTGGTATGAGAGTGCTAATGTGGCCAATAAAAGTAATTTCAAGATCTGAATGTAGTAGTACACACTGTTAATCCTAACACCAGAGAGGTTGAGACAGGAGGATTATGAGTTCATAACGAACCTGGGCCGCAAGTAAGTTCCAGGGTATGTTAAGATATACAGAAACACCTTGTTGAAAGAAAGATAAATAAATAAGCAAGCAAACAAATAAATAAATATAGGGTAGCTACCTTAGTCATTCCAAAGTACTGTCTTTAAAATCAAGGGAGACCAAAGGGTATCTCAATGAATAAGACAAATTCAATATTAAAATGGAGAAAGAAGGCTGGTTTTGTCCTTGTACTATATTTACATTGATCATTGGACTTAATTGACTTTGAATTAGGAATACTATGTGGAATGAAGTAGTGAGAAAGAAATGAGATCGAGAAGAGAGGGAGATGGAGAGAGAAAGGAGAGATGAAAGGGAAGGAGGAGAGCCCTATTACATAATTATTATGCTGGGTCCAGAGAAAAGGACCCACTATTTTAAGAGGTTATTTGTTTGTGTATTCCAACTGCTATCCTCACATTCTTATGTTTCTCATCTCATTTCTATGTTCCTCACAGTCAGAACACTTCAAAGAACTCACTGTACCAGGCCCATGCATCCCTATGACACACCAATCCATTTATGACCTTTTTTGTAGCCTTATCTGAATCCTATGGAAGAAGAGAGGGAAGCACAAAAAGGGCAAAGGAACAATCCAGAATACGGCTCTCCAGCTTGTACAGCTACTACCCAGGGTAGGTTGAGTTCTCTAGATGCTGAGATAGAGACACCCTCTACATGCCTAGTTCCTCCTCAGGAACTTTGAAGCCTATACTATCAAGAACAAGGTTGCATGGCACCTGCTTGCCAAGAGGAGGTGCAGGAGAAAGTTAGGAGGTCCTGGAAAATAGGGACTTTGGAGAAAAAGAACCTTAATAGTTTCTCTAAAGCTTGTTTCTATACTCCAGTCTTCTTAAGTTTTAGTACTTTTTGATTTTCTTTTTTTCTTTTTCCTAGATCAGCAAATAAATTTCTTAAAGCATAAGCTCCCCACCACCTCCTTTTTCCTACCGAGCAGCATAACAAAACCCGTGGCCATGCTAATTGATTAAGGACTAGAACAAATATGTCTGGGGCGAGGAGTTTAGGTAGACCTGGAAGGGTAGACTTTCTGAGAGTCCTAGGATCTTGACCAAGTTCAAAAATTGATAGCTTTTCTAGAAGTGAACCTCTCTTTGTTGGACCATATACCAGTGCCCTACCCCAGGTGGTGGGAAATCTGTGCCTTTGTCTTTCTATCAGTAAGGGCATCTGACTAGATCATTCAGAGCAGTATTTGTGGACTGAGAGGAATCCATATGTGAGCTTGCAGTAGGAGGGAGAGAAGTGCCAAATAAAGGACAGGCTCTGAATACAAGTAGAAAAGATGAAGATGACAAAAACCAGAAGGTCCCCAGCAATGACAGAAAGTCACTCTGGAATCAGCCAGATGGACAAACAATGAGAGATGGCAGAGTAAGCAGTAAATCTGGATTGGGTAGATAAGCCATGTTTGTAAGTATAGCCACCTTTGGCACTAGGCAATTCCCATGTAGCTTGGGAACTGGTGATTGAAGTTCTGAGTGGGAGGTCAAGCAGGAACTGTTTATGCTCCTGATAGAGTTTGATGGAAGGGAGAGAAGCTCACCCAGGTGGAAGCAGGAAGCCAGCAGCTATGCATTATAACCTCCACCCTGTTCACAGTGCCTGGTGGATATCTTCTGACCTTAGAACTTTATAGACAACCCAATAGAAGATATTGAAGACAAGAAAAGTAAAGGGGAAGACAGCCCTGGAGATGGTGTCAATTCTCTTGGCTCGGTCCACATAGAGTTTCCTCATGGTTTCTCCCTCCTTTCGAAGAGGTGCTGGAGGTTGGGGATTATAAATGCTGGAACCTTCCATTGGACCTCCATCCCTTGCTTGTAGGCAGTGTCCTAGGCCATAGCCACGAAAATAGAAGCCACTTTCTCGTATGATATCTTCTTCCTGGAATTACAAGAGATAAAAGGTGGTATTTGAGGCCAAAGTAAAAGCCAGACCACACATAAATGTCTCAAATCCAATGTGATACAGGCAAATGCCTCACTGCACTGGCCCACTACATGTTTTTTGTTGATCACAAAATTATTTTAAAAAATACATATATGTGCATATGCTAAGCAGCTATGTCTGTTGAATGGACCACTGGCCAGATGAACTGCATGCTTCAGGATATAATGAATGGAGTGGCTTTTTGTTTTTGTGATGCCAGTATCTTGTGAGGGTCCATCCAGATGAGAATCTCGCTCAGTTGTGAAATACCTGGCAGGAAAATGTACTATTTGCCCCACTATACAATGGCTCCTTAACCTTTGGCTTCTGCAAAGGGATTAGCACTTTGAACATAGGAAAAAATTAAAGTCTGCACACCAGAGAGCTTTGCTGTTCTGTTCTTGATTTATCAGGGTCTTCACAGAGAGTTGTATGTGTGTATGTCAGAGGCTGTTCACTATCCTGCTCTTCAACTTGGAATTGGTACAGTTTGGCAGCCTAAAGGCTTTGCTCACCTATCCTTTTAGCCTCTTTTATCAAAGTTCTTGATTCATCTCACATGCATTCTTTAATTCATTTTCAGGAGAGGTTTGCCAGATCCATTTTACAGATTAAGAACCAGAGGCAAGCAAAGTATCTCAGAAGGAATTGAAAAATGAGTGGGGTAAGTAAAGTTAAAAAAAGTCTTTCTAGCATTACAGTTCAGGAGCCTATACCAGACTCTTCAGCTAGCCCCCAACTAGAAGATGCAACTACAGAATATAGGTATTAAGAAAAAACTTCTAAAGGAAAAAGTTAGATCCAACTGCTGTTTTTGTTTTAATAAATCCTATTATTTCTCCTTTTACCCAGTAAATCTGAGGGAAATTATTTGGAACTATTTCCATGGCTAGAAAAAGTAATTTCATATAGAAGATGAAATATATCCAATAAAGTAAGCTGCTCTTGGCTCTTTTTAATTTTAATATGTACCTTTTAAAGCTAGCCAGCAAAGATGGGTAGCCTAAAATTCAAGGATAAAGGGGTTTGCATATTAGATATTTATGACAAATTCTGCTTGGTGAGTGTTTGTATATGTGTTGGGGAGGGACAATGTGCCATTAAATATTACTTTGTAATTTCCATAGTTATTGAAATAGAGTTGATTTTTTCTACATATCTAGAAGCAGAATGCTGAGAGGCTAGAGAAGGAAGCTATACCCAAGCGAACCTGGGAAATAAATGCCCAGTGGAGAAGGTGGGGTACAAAGATGAGAAAGAGTGATGAATGTTCAAGGTAGACAGGCAGGAAAAAAAGAAGTTGGAGAGACGAGAAAGTAAGTCCCTGAGAGGATTTACTGGCCTTTTGTAATTTTTCTAGTTCTTAAGTAACTGTATTAATAATAACCAGAAGTTTTATCTGTCCAGTTTGACAGCCTTTGCCCTTGGCTGCTGTGTTCAGAGCCAAGGGCTAACCTTGCAGAAATAATGAAAAAAAGGGTTTCACCCTTTCCTCTGAATCATTTAAACAATCTGGGAAGACGAAGCGGAAGCACATCAAAAACACCCATTGTTTTAGGCAGTCCTGTAGGAGAAGGCCATCGTTCAGGGGAGACTGATTGAGGAGAGGTTAGAAAGAAAATGATGAGCCGAGAGCTGGGCGGACAGTTGACTGTCTCCTGAAGAACCCTATCTTGACCTTGACTCTAGGTTCCCGAGAACTGTATTTCTTTCTTTTTCCATTGGGTTTTTTCAAACTGAAGGTTCCTAATTCTTTTGCTGGAACATGAAAGCCCCGAAAGAGGGTCCAGACAAATATGAGCTCTCTATCAACTTGTTAAGCCAGTGTAGGACCTCCAAGATTCCTGAATTCCACTGGGGTTGCAACCCCACATTGGGTTACCTTAGCTTTAGGACACTCAAGAAATGGATATTATTAATGGCACAGATTTGGTTTTCAGGTTTTATTCACATTAATAGTAAGCCACAGTCCACTTTTAGGCAAGCCACAGTGTCCTAAGTAGGCATGAAGCTACTACTAAGTAACTTTGTAATAATTGTGCACTGTGGCTCATTCCATTATAAGCTCATGGCTAGCCTGTATGTACACACGAGCAGACAGAATATGGGCAGTATCTGTTTGGATGGGTACAGGGTCAAACTGAGTAACTCTGTAGTAACTATAGTAATCTTTGTTACTTGTACATCAACACAGGCATTTTAGGTTAAAAAAAGGGACTCTGGACTATTTAATGACCTCCTCTTCTTTCCTAGGAAAAACATCAAAATCAAAACGTCCTATGAATGAAGATTTTAGTCCCTTCAGACAAGGTAATACAACTAAAGAAGAGGCCTATATGGTTATTTTAGAAAAGGAAGAATCCTGTTTTCTTTACTTCTGCTAACTATGTGCAGGTCTCTGGAATAATCTTATTCTAAGAGATGCAGTTGTGGATCCATCCACTAGAGGGCTGACTATTTAGGAACCATGAAGGAACTAAAAAGCAAAGAATTGGTAATCAGAAAAATCTACGTAAGAGCCATCCCTGTCTTTCCCAGAAAGAAATGTGAAATCATGCAGTTTGTGTGGTCACTGGAAGTCATATGGTAGGGGTGCTCCAGGAGCAACTGAGGTGTGTGTTGAGTGTTAGGAAGAACAAAGACTCCTTGTAATAGTATGTCTCAGGTGGGCTAGAGTCAGAATTTGTATGTGCATCTGTCTGTGTGTGTGTTATTGTGGATCAAACCCAAGATTTATGTTTATGCTAGGCAAGCACTCTGCCACTGAGCTACATCCACTGCCCTCTGGAGTCAAGATTTTTAACAGTGGGTTCCAGTAATTTGTTTTCTGTCCTCCAAAAGTAATTATGTGCTTGGCCTTTTGGTTTTGAAGCCTCTGAATTAGGTAGAAAACAAGGAGTCAAAGCTTGAGACATTATGTCTCTAAAGATTAAGCAACTAGCAGCAAGGCCTTCAGCTTTGCCATAATTGGAGCTTGTTTTTCTCTGGGTAGCCCAGGCACCTCTGTTGTCATGACAACTTACCTAGCACCTATTGTCTGGACAATTGAGGGAAAACTGCTTCTGTTGTCATGACAACTTCCTCTTCTATCTCCCCTTGGTGATCTCTCTGCTATGGAAGAAATGGGGCTAAAAAACAAGAGAGAGGCGGAACACCACCTCAAGCCTAAGAACTGCGAAGTGCCTGATGAAGATCAGGATAAATTCCACCAGTCAGAAGAGGCAAGTATTGATCTTTCCATTCCAGTTCAAATAGAGGGACCTCCTTCAGTGCTCCTCTGGAAAGATACCAGTATCTGACTCTGAGTTCTTACCAGTAGGACAACTTGGAGTTACTTCCTTCTTGATGAGGAAAACCAGAAACAGCTATTATTACTGTAAGCACTGCAACTTGGCTAGAAAGGGATCCTGGCAGTCGGGAGCCCAGGAATACCACACAGCTACCATAAGCACAGCAGCTTCCAGCCCTGCTGCATGGAAAGGTTTCCCCAGTGTAACAACAGAGCAGGGAAGGGTTTCCCTAGTGAACTTGTTACAGTTCTATTCTGCTCTAGCCCCTGCTAAGGTTGTTGCTTCTCTCCTCCACTCCATTCCAACAAAGGAAGGTCTCACCTATACCTCATTCAAGAGATTTATTGGCAGGGAAGAATCCAGGAAGTGTCTGCCTCTGCCAGGGTGGAAAAAGGCAATTCCCAACTGAACAGGCACAGGGCTTATATAAGGCTTCTAGGGGTGGACTTTTTCCCGGGTAAAGATTTTCAGGGTGGGAATTGGTTGGATTTCAACTCCTGAGCTTGGACAAGCTCAGAGCTTGGCTGGATTTCATGCTCAGGTATTGTTTGGTTTCATGCTCAGGGATTGGTTGGTTTTTTGTGCTGATTTGTCAGGGGCAGAGTATGCTTCTTTGGCTCTGGTTTCAGGGCCAGGGTGTGGTTCTTTCACTGGTTCTGGTTTCAGGGCTGACATGTATTTTTTGGCGCTGGTTTCAGGGTCAGGGTGTATTTTTTTGGCTGGCCCTTTTACCCTAAGTTACTTCTCAAAGCAATGGCATTTATGCTAAGTCAATAAGGTCCTAATACTGGCAAATTCGTGTTTTTTTTGAAACAGTGTCTGTATGTAGTCCTGGCTGTCCTGGAACTTGCTATGTAGACTAAACCGACCTTAAATTCAGAGATCCTCCTGCCTCTGCCTCCTGGGTGCTGGGATTAAAGGCCTGTGTCACCATGCCTAGCCCTGGCTAACATGTTTTAAGCACTTACTATATGCCATACTCTTAATCCCTCTACTGCCTTATAGGGGTTAATGTCCCATTGGATAGATAAAAGAAACAACCAGAGAAACTAAGTATTTAATTTTACTATCACCAGTCTGGGACTAGAATCTAGAATTCCTGATTGCCCAGTACTAGAGCTCTGGATTGGAACTCAGTTTGTGGGAGGAGGAGTAGGAGAGAGGAGTCCAAAGGAGAAAGGAAGTGGAACCCTCCCTGTTGGTACTCACCATGCGTTGCCGTCTCTGCCTTCTACGAAGTCTCATAAATTCCTTGTGCTGACGAGAGACAAAATTGACTGCAGCATACTCAAGCAAGGCAGCGAATACAAAGAGCAGGCATACAGCCATCCAGATGTCAATGGCCTTCACATAGGATACCTGCAACATAAGAGAGCAGTTACCCTTTCTGGAGTCCTTCCAACGGACTATCCAGTGGATTCCAGTCCATATCAATTGCTTGTTCAGTTTTATCCTGAAACTCCTGTGGTGTTAAACAAGTCTATCAGGACCTGTATGTTTATCTGAAAGCCTGTGTCAAAGAGACTGGGCTACCTATCATCCTTTAGCTCACTGACATCTCCATTTTTGCTTTTATGAGACTTTCCCCCTACTCTTCATTTCCTTTATTTGTTCTTTTTACTTTTCTGTTTCACCTTCCGATTCTTCCCTTTTGGTAAATAGCAATAATCAAAATCATATTTGTTTGCCCTCTGGTATCTCCTGGGTTTCTCATAGCCACAACGATAATTAGGGAGGGCTCACAATTCCCATGTGAGGTGTGTGGAGACATTTAATACCCAGAGAGAAAGGGTCTTAGCAGAGATCACTTAGAAGGTAGTATTAGAACTGGGAGGTTCTGAGCTTTCAAATCAGTGACCTTGTCATTTACCTAGGTTACAGCCTCACTGGCCGACTATGAGGAGCTCCTGCATCTGTATTCTCCTGTTGATCCTGTGGAGTTTTCTGCTGCTTTTGTAGGAGTCACTGCTGAGGGATGGAATGCAATGGTAAGCTAAGGCTTCATCGCTCACCTTGGAGGGAATGGCAGAATCCTGAGAGAGCGCCACCTAGCCCTTGTCATGACACCTCAGTAATTGCAAGGCACTCTTGGCATCCACCATGCGGTTCCTACTGTGCCCCTCTTTGGCAGCTTTTAAGGGCATTTGTTTTCCACTTCCCTGGTAAAGGTTGAATAGCAACCTCTCCAGGAACAGGGTACAGCTAGGTGGACCCAAGAGGAGGGATTCCCTGTGCAGTTTTGAGCTCACTCCATAGAGCTTCCTGTCAGGAGTAGGATTCGTGGACAGCGACTTCTTTTTATCAGCTTCTGCATTATAAGGCACTGACAGTGCTGCAGATCCCGAGTAAGGAAAAGGTGTCATTCGATAGAATCTATTGTTGGCTCTCTGTGATACTGGAAATTGAACCCATGACTTCATGCATTACAGCCATAATCTGTTACCAATGAGCTATATCACTAACCTCCCATCTTAGTGATTCTTAACTGGAGAAAACTGCTCCACCTACAAGAGCATTTATCAGTGTTTGACAAAATTTTTGGCAGCATGATTTTAGAGTGATGATAGCTACTGGTGTATTATGGGTAGAAAAAAACGGATGTTTTTAAGCATCCCAAAGTGTGTACTGTTCCTCACTTTAAAACATACACCCACCAGAATTATCTGCTCCAACTGAGGTGTTAAAGTTGGCAAACCCTGCTTTCATTTCTGGCAGTTCCACTGAAAGAGTGAGTAATAGTGGGTTACTTGGTAACTCTGATTAATAATTCCTTGGCGCTGTCTCTACTTCGCCACCTATGCAGAAGGCATCCCATTTGACTGTCTACCACCCAGGCCCACTGGGCTCTTAGTAATGAGTGATAAGGGATAGTCATGAAGGCTTTAGACTATTAGTGAAAAGTACACTTTATGAATTTGTGGCTTGTTAATGATAAATGTGTCATTAATACATTTAAAAAAGATCCCTGTGATTATATCACCCCCCAATATAACCCTTAGGAGGTCCTCTATTACCCTTGTGATCTAGGTTTGTTATACTTACCATGGCCTTTGACCTCTGTCTTCCTCTTTAGCCTCACTATTCCCCTTATATTTTATGATCCTGCCATAGTGAAATAGTTCAGTGTTTTTAAAGAAGCCAGTCTCTTCTCCTCCCTCTGATTTGGGGATCTTATACTTCAGCTTCCATATTAGACATGGTATTTTTGAGAGGCCTTTCCTGATATCTCCCTCTTGTGTGTTTCCTTCCGTTTTACTGGCTTACCCATACCTCTTTAGCATCCATCACATACCTGACCAACACTTCCACTACCCTGAGCTTTTCTGTGTCAGGAACTATTTTTATAGCGTTCAGCATTCTATCCCCAGTACCTGAGTGCTTGGCACACAGTAAGTAGTTTTGCAATGAGCAGATGGAAGATTTAGCAATAGGTTCCTATCTGTGGGCTCCTACTTGCTGTCTCTGCTCTTTGTTCCTTTCTTTTCCCCACGAGCTAAGGAAAGGATAGAATTTTATCCTTCCTCCCTAGTACAACCCTATATGTTATCGTTCACTTACCCTTTCCTCTTGCAGCTATGGAGATGAAGAGCCTAGCAGACAGATGGAAATCTGTGCGGTTAGGGTGTTGCACAAGGCAATGAAGGACTGGTCTCTGGAGACTATAGGAAAAGACCACCATAACTGAGTTCCCTTTCAAAGAAATCCCTTTTAGTCTCATCCTAGATAGTAGAGTTTTGTTTTGGGTGGTAGTGGTGTTGCTGTCAGATGCCTCTGGCTTGGCCTCATCTCCCCCTTTACACCCTCAAGGAAACCTAATGTTGCACAAACTCAGGAGTAAACAGGAATGCCTTGACTTGCCAATTCCTTTACTCTGTGAATCTAGTAGGCAAGACTATTCATTTTAGGGTATATGCCTGAATATTCTGCTTACTGGTCATTGAGACTATTCAAAAGTCGTGAAAATATGACAAGAAGGTCCTAACTAAGTGTTGTAAACAAATAACCTCTTAAGAAAGTCCATTTTTGTAAATGAGGAAACTGTGATACCTAAGAGCAGATAGATTGTGCTTACTCACAGCAGGGAACCAGAAAGGAAATTCTCTTAGAAAGAATGCATAAATTGCAGTATTTTTGTGGGATATGAAGAATCTTCTTACATGACAGAGGATAAAATGGGGCAGGGTTCTTGACACAGTGATCCCCATATAAGGCTATTATAATAATGTAAGTATCATAGCCCAGGCTGGCCCTATGGATCTCCTCTAGGGTTAGGCTGCTTCTAAAAGCCTCATTAATACCCCAGTCCACTTAGGAAACACATACAGAAAGGGGCCCCTGACAACTTCTTCTCAGGTACTTGATCCTAATCTGAACTTGGTCCCTGTTTATCTCTGTAGGGGCTTTAGAGTAACTTAAAGGTTTCCTAGAAAATGAAAAACCTGTATGGGGAATGCCTTCTGCTTTATTCCCAGATCCAATACTCATTCTTTTTTAACTCTGACACCTGGGTTAACATTTATTGAGCAATTATTATGTGCCAAACACTGTCCTTATATGTTAATATATAATTTATTTTTCACAATAATCCCATAGAGGGGGGAAGAATTCTTAGTTTCATTTTATAGGCAAGGCAACTAAGAGACAATTTTATTCAAGGTCATACTATTAGTAAATAATGAGGCTGGGATTTAAACATTAATCTGCCAGACTCTATTCTCCTACATTTAAACTCCCCTATGGCAATTTCATGAACATGCCATCAATATCTATATCACACACTATTTAAGTCTCCAATAAAAATGTCTTATTTGGAACAACCAATGAGAGATAGCATTTCTCAGGGCCAGGTTCCCAACAAATCAGAATAAGAGGGAATATATTCAAAGCAAGATTCATTATTCTTCCATGACCAAGTACAGTACCTGGTACGTAGTACTGTTCAACAAATATTTATTGAATGAAAAACAATAGCCTAACTCCCTGATTTTCTCAGAGCCTTGCTGACTATAAGGACTTTGAGGTGACCTTTAAATTCCCTACTTGAATACACGATGCAGGGAGAACTGTTCTTAGTCCCATCAGCACAAATTTTTCTGCATAGTCAAAACATTAACCGGCCCCAGATGATCAGAGTCTACTGTCTTTTAATTGCTATTATATTTGCAACCTCAAAATATTCTCCTTCCCCCCAATAAACACTATATTTAGAGCACTTTGTAACAGTACCTTACTTGTTAAAGAAAGAGGACAGGATTTGGTTCTTTGCTCGTTTCTAGTCAGGATTGACCTTGAGAAGGTAATTTTACCTCTCTGATATTCATTCTTATCTGTACTATGAGAGAATGGAACTTTCTATGTGATAAGGGTCTTTTGGTATTGAGCATGGTAGTATTTCCCAAAGAAAATTTAAGTAAGGCACTGTCTCTACTCATTCCCTAGCCAGCAACATTCACATTATTATGCTATTATTAATAGTAGGTTATGGAGAAGGGGAAATGTTGGATGCAGCTATTGCGTATCCATAGTTTCTACCTTAAATCCAGGATAAAGGAGTAGCACAGCGGGGAGCATGCGATGAATGGGAAATAGGGGCTTGATGTCACCAGGTTCTCTTGCATATCTCTTCACCTTAGGCAAAGAGGCCCTGGATCCAGAGCTCTGGGTTGTCATGGTGAGGACAGTGGTGATGCCGAGGCCTACACGGGCAGGGGCAGCATCCATGTTGATCCAGAAGGAGACCCAGGACAGGATGACAATGAGTAGGCTGGGAATGTACATTTGAATCAGATAGTAACCCATCTGCCGCTCCAGGTGAAACTTTACCTCTATGCACGTGAATTTTCCTGTAAGAAAAGAAATGTATTAGGCTCTGAATCCCCAGACTGTAGCTTAGCCTGAGGGACTATGGGTCAGGAATAGGGCAGCCCTGCTGAACCAACCTCTGGGATCCTCAGCTGGCCAATAAATGATACTTTCAAAATGGCCCCAGGTAATGTGTGCTGTACTTAGAAAGCTCTCACATCAGCCATAAAGATTGCCTTCTTGCTCCCAGAATTTTTCCTTAGAGCATAAGATCTTTCAAGTAACAATTACAGAAAGAGGATAAAGAGTAAGAGGGCTCCCAGCTTAGACTCTCTGGGGCTGAATCTCAACCTTTCATTTAATACCTATGTGATCTTGAATAATTCACCCAAGCATTTTGTTATCCCTTTTGTTTTGAGACAAGGTCTTTTTATGTAGACCAGGGTAACACCAAATTTGGGATTCTCTGCTGTACCACCATGCCAAGTTCCACCCAATCTTTTTGAACCAGTTTTCTTGCCTAGAAAACAGAGTAATTAACAATGTCAGTTCCATCATTGGGCTGTAGAAAAGTTAAATGAAATACTGTAGTTGAGGGCTGAGCATAGTAGCTCTTTCTACCATTAAATAGTTATTAGGAAAGAGTTAGTTTTTGACTTCATTTGTATCTCACCATCCTTCCTTGCACTTGCTAATGTCCCTGAATCTGTAGTAACAGCTGGGATAAACACTCCCTGTGTGTTATGCAAATGAGAAGAACAAGCTAGTATATAATGAGAAAGGATTTGTAACAGAAATGAGCTCTGGATACTGACAAGCAGGTTCCCATAGAGTATAAGGAAGAGCTGTCCTGTTTCCTCATTAAAAAATGCATTGGTTATAGGCACATATCTCAGGGTTCTTCCTTTTGACATGCTAGCCCTCTTTAATTTATCCCGCTTCCTATAACTCTGAAGCTAAGAAAACATTCATTAACAGCCTTTCTCAAAAACAGAGGCTGGGGATAGATAACACAAGAGGGAAAGCAGATTTGTACAGACATCTTCAAATACCCACCAGGAGATGGCTTTCAAGACCCCATCACAGATACTAAAATCTGTGAATATTCAAATCCCTTATATCAAGTGGCATCATATTTTTATTTTAATTATGCAACCCTTCTATATACCTATATACTTTAAATTAGGTCTGTATTCATTTAAACACATGTGTGTGTGTGTGTGTGTATGTGTGAGTGTGTGTACTGCATCATGTGTTGAAGTCAGAGTACAACTTTCAGTAGTCAGTTCTCTCCTTCTACCATATGGGTCTTAGGAACTGAGATCAACTCATTTACCCACTAGTGTGGATTTTTAGGGACTAATGATAAGGAAAAGTCTATATATGTTCAGCACGGATGAAATTTATAATTAATGCTTTTTTTCTGAAGTTGGATGGACCCTTGGACATGGGACATCCTAACATGGACAGCCAATTTCAAGGTTTTGTTAGTATTAATAGTGAAAGAGAACCCTTACTGACTAAAGCCAGAGAGATCTTTTGTAATATTTTCTTCAAATAAATTCTAAGGGTGAAATTCCTGTATAAATAAATTGGTAAAAAATTAACTTCCAGACTAACATTTCTCAAAATACAGTGTTTTCTGAACTATCAGTATCATAAGCCTCATGATACATGTTAATATGCAAATTTCTAGACATTTCCTCTAGTATATATGATCAGAATCTGAGAGTTATAGCCTAAGAATCAGTGTTTTTCAGATTCCCCAGGGAATATATTGAATACAAAAGCCTGAAAACAATTCACCTACATACAAATTGCTGTTCCTGCTCCCAAGTTTCTACTAATTTCTACTCCCAGCGTAGTTTCTAAATTCAAGGAACTCTTCTATCCCCACTCCCACACAACTAAGTCACTAAAGGATATGAGGAACCAGCAACTCTTAGGAAAGCTGAAGGATTGAGCTGTCCAGTTATGAAAAACAGTTCCTCTCAACTTCCCATGCTCCACGTTCAGGAAGAAAAGTTAGGTGAGGAAAGCCAGGCAGTGGAGGTGACTGGGAAAGTGTACCTGGTCATCTGCCTGTTCCTTCAGGCCCTTTCCTCTCTATTTGAGCATAGCTATTGACAACTCCTATCTGGAGATTTCCTAGCTTTCACACAAAATTGGCCCTAGGAAAACGAGACACTTTTGTTGCTTGTTGTCACAGGCCTCTACTCTGCAGCATATGAGAGTGATACAAACATGGGCTTTGTGTCAGATTGGAATTACAAATTTGATATCTATTAACTATGTGACAACTGATTTAAACTCTACCCCCATAACTTTCTTTAACGTTTATTTTATATGTATTCACTCTGTGTGTGTGTGTGTGTGTGTGTGTGTGTGTGTGTGTGTGTAGAGAGAGAGAGAGAGAGAGAGAGAGAGAGGAGTCCTCTTCCTCCACCATGTGGACTCTGAGGATTAAACTCAGGTTGTCAGTTTACCTGCTGAGGCATTTCTGTAGCCTTTCTGTGTTCTCTTTATGAAAGTAATGCTGACAGTCTCTTTCATGATGAAATAAGGTATAGCAAGCATGTAGGATCATATCTCCTCTATTCTAATGAGACTCCAGTGGAACCTGGTGCCTTGTACCCTTGTCTCTGGTTGAGGCCCTTTAGCGTCTCATAAACAATAAAGACCTGCCTGATTCTCACCTGTGTTGTAGTGCTTGGTGCAATAACCTAGATCCTTCTCATCCCGCAAGATAAATTGGGGAAGTGTCAACCCCTCAGCCACTTGGACAGCAGGAGCATCTTCTAGCCACTCAAACATGAGGTCATTCATGGTATAGCCAACTGCAAGTGACAGAGATATCAAAGAGTTTCACAGTGTATGTTTGGGGTAAGGACAGAGGTGAGTTAAAATTAGCTAGGGTACATAGTTGAGGAGCAAGGTTTGGGGTTTAGAAATGGCACACCAAATCTTGGAAATGGGAATATTTCTGAAAAGGGAATTTCCTCAGTTGTCTCACAGGCTTAAACTAAATGAGCCATACACAATGATCCTAGACTACTCTGCTATGTAGGTATCAAACTTGGTAAATGCCTAGAGAGGAATTACTCTGGCTGACTTAAGATGGAAGCCAGGAAGTTTGGAAAGATGTCAATGATCCCAGCTGGGAACCTCCTGCCACTTCTTAAACCCAGAGGAGTAAGCATGTGTACTAACCACATGTCCTGAGCTGGCCTCAGAGCCAGGGTTTCTGCCACTTTACCTCAGGGAAGAAAGCTATTTCTGTCCTTCCAGTCATGCATGGGAGAATGTGCATACCACAGACTCCTAACCAGGGACTTGAGTTGGAAAACATTCAGACTTAATAGCTGATTGTGACAAGTTGCTCACAGATTACATGCAGTTCATGAAGGCCCATGGCACAGACATGATCATGTTCTCATATGTAAGGGAAGACAGGTTTACAGAATCTACTGTAAGGTCCACTGTAGCTGCATGACTTCAGGCTAGTCATCTGCTCTTCTGTAAAATGAGGCTCGTAGAGGCTGCTCCCCTACGTTTCAAAGTTGTGAGGGATAATGGGAACCTGCCTGTACAAGTGGTATGTGAATTCTCAGGGTGGACCACAGGGCATTTTCTTTGCATCACTGTTTCCATGTGCTAGAAACAATGCCACAAGCTTTTTCTCTGAGGGACATCTTGTGATCTCAGTTTTCCCTCCTGAAGGTGACAGGTGAAGAGTGGAAGTAAATTATGAGCCATCCTTGCCATCCTTTGGCTTTTCTGTCCGTTTGCCAGCCCATATAGGTTGACACCTTTGCCATAGAGAACTTTGGCTGACTTCACCTCTCTAGGCACTGTCCTATGTATGTCTGAAGCTGCCTCTCATTCTCTGTAATCATTATCTGTGTTCATGGAGAATCAGAGTTCCAAGGGTATACTTGCCCCAAACTGACAGACAGACAGACAGACATACATACATACATACATACATACATACATACATACATACATACATACGTATCTTCAATGTCTTAATTCTGGGAGAGTAAGGGTGAAGCTAAATTAGGGACTGTAAGAAGAAATTAGAACAGAGGAAGTACCCTTCAGATAGTGCCTGATGGCTGGCCCAAGTGCATTTCTGTATAAGGCTGGGAGTCATTATGTTCCTAGCTCTATGGAATAGTCAGCCCAGCAAGTAATGTGGGAACACAAAAACCACACTGGGCCTGGTGTCAGGGAATCTTGGCTTATAGTGTCATCTATGACAAGAATTGATTGTGTATGCTTGAGCAAGTCCCTCTCCTGTCTGAAGTATCATTGGAGGATATTAACTAGCTGATAATCTAGTCCTTGCCATGTGATTCACTAGAGTCACTTACAGCTTTCCAGCTGCATCGTGCAGGTCTGGATGTCCATTGGGAAGTTCTTGAGGTCCATTGGGCAGGACAAAATGAGGGTCAATCTGGTGGGAGCAGTAAAAAAGTAATGACTTCAGTTTACTGGGGTGCCACATTGTATAGCACAGACCATCTTCCCACCCTTCCATCTCCATCTGGCTTCTTTTGATACAAAATCCCCTTGCTATATACTAGGCACACCTGATGCTGTAGAGCACATTCCCATTCTTGAAGATGCGTAGTAACTTATTGTCTGTGGTCACCTCATGGAAGTTGGCCCCTTTCTCGTTGGCAAAGAAGAGATCTGGCTTCCAGATAGAGTCGAGCATAGAGGGGTCTAGATCCAGAGAGTCATCAGGATATTCTCGGTAGGCCAGGCGTGGGTCATTCCATTGTTGCCGCAAGAAGACATTTACCCGGTAATCCTGGAAGGGTGGTGAGGAGGGCCTATCAGATGCAGTGCTTTTCCCAGGGACCCAGTAAAACCAACATGAGTAAAAGGGCCACAAAGAGGAAATGCTGCTGCATCTTGGGGGCAGTAGATATTTTCCAGTGGAGAAAGCCCATTGTGGCCAAATATGGCAAATATGGCAAGGGAAAATAGATTTATTTAAATATCTACTATGCACCACACTCTGTGCTAAGTGCTTTTATGTAAGAATGGAGGTTGAACCCAGGTTCTCGAGCATGCTAGGCAAATACTGTATCACTGAACCACATCCTCAGCTCTAAGTGCTCTCCTCATGTGCATCATTTTATTTAAACCTTGCATCTTTCTTGCACATAGAATGGTTTTGTGATCTACACCTTGCATATGAATAACAAAAACCAGGAAAGATTGAAGTCAAACTGCTTAACAGAACTGTGAAGTGGCAGAATTGGAATTGGAACTCAGGTTTTTCTTATTCAAAAGCCTGTGCTCTGCATTGGTTACTTCACATATTTGAAGAGCTGACAGTGACCTCTCAGTCATCAACTCAAATGTCCTGTGGCGTAAGTTGTGATCACAGAGCAGGAAGAGGACGACAGAAAGGAAATGCTTGCTATCTGGTGAGCCTCTCCATTCACACTGGAATGGAAGTTGGGAACAGGAAGATCCCTTACCATGGTGGTCTCAGTGACGGAACCAAAACTGTTGATGAAGATGTTGCAGGTCACATTCACAGGTGGGCCTAAGGGTAGCAAAGCACAGCCCATTGGCAGGGCATTCCAGAAAGCTGAGCACAGATTCCAGAAATCTCTCTCTGAGCTTCAGATCAGGCCACTGCTGGGAAAAGACTGAGAGCTACATGGACTCACAGGCAACAGGGAGGAGGGGCTCTTTCTGAGCTATGACATCTAGCTTTGGACTTCCAGCCTTTTTCCTTAAGGCTGCCCACCAAATACTGGCTAAGCAGTATGCCACCCCAAATAGTAAGCATGGAGGGGATTTAGTAGATGGACGTTTCTTACCTTTGAAATTGGGCCTAATCCTGGCATCATATCCAGATGTTCGTCCCATAAGCTTATCCAAGAAATCAGAGGGAGACATGGGCTGGGACCCTTTGGGCCCAGATTTGACATCCTCTTTTGCCAAAGTCACGCTGGACAGAGAAGAAAAGAAGTTTGAAGATAGGTATTTTCTACATTTATCCCAGATTATACTTTCCCTTCTCCACCCCCCTTTGATAAATCTGCCCATTGGGCAGAAAGGTAAGAGAGAATGGGTCTCTGGTGTGCTAAATGAGTAGATAAACATTATGAGCCATCATGGCTGCCCAACAATCATCCTGGGAAATGGCCTTCACTTAGATCTTATGTTTTTACTTTTAATTCTCAATAATGGCATGAGGACTGTTATTTCCGTTTTGCAGATGAGAAAACAGGCTTGAAAGGTAAGTTACCTATCCAAAACTTCAGAACTTCTGAGTGACACAGTCAGGACTCAAACACCAGACTAAGAACCTGCTTAGTGTTCTCTTCCTGAAGGTGCTTTGAAAGCATTCAAAGTAGAACGTCATCTTATCCAGTGTGTTGCTAATATAACTTAGCCAAGGATAGGAGGGGCTTTAGGACAAACAGCTTCCCTGAAAACTGGTATCAGTTGCTTGGGCTTTCTATAAGATTTGCAGAACTGGGGTAGGCTTGGTTTGTGCCATTTCTTCTTCTTCTTCTTCTTCTTCTTCTTCTTCTTCTTCTTCTTCTTCTTCTTCTTCTTCTTCTTCTTCTTCTTCTTCTTCTTCTTTGCATGGCAAGAGGCTACATTAAGTGTGAGCTCATGGCTACTACAGGCAGGTGACTATGGTAATTAAGCAGGGATCTATAGCCATGGGACAGTTTCCCAACAGAGTGATTATACTGAGGTAAACTCCCATCTTTCTCTACCGAACATCTTGATTTGGGGGAAGATGTCAGTATGTTTTGGCTTGGCATAGAACCTAGCCTCTTTTCTTTTGTCAGTTTTCCTCCTAGGAGAGACAAGGAGATGGATCAGTGAATAAAATGCTTGCTGCACAAGCACAAGGGACAGTGTTCAGATCCTCAGCACCCAGGTAAAAGTCTGGTGGATATGGCAACACACTTGTAACCCTACCATTGGCGAGTCTAGCTCTCACGTGGCAAGGTGGATAGCTAGATGAGCGGAAATTGGCTAGATATGGGTTCAGCAAATGACCCTGCCTCAATATATAAGGTAAAGAATGATTGAAGAAGACATGTGACATCAACCTCAGGTAGCCATGCATACATGCATGTCAGTGTGTACCTACACGCATTTGTGCCCACACGTAGGCAAACACTTGTACACACATACATACAAGTTTCCTCTTAGGAGCAGAAAAGTCCCTTTCACATAATCATTTACTAGTGGACTAGCCAACACATAGATGAGTCCCAGGGACTCAGCAAAGCCTGAGCAGAGGTAGATGTTAGGAATGAACTCAGGCCAGAGACCTGTCTAGAGTAGGTACTGTCTTGCTGCATCTTACAGTCATTACTGTGCCAGACATAGCCATCTCCACAACTGCCATGACGGCTGCACTGTGGGACTGAGCATCGGGATGACAGCTGCCTTTCTGTGTCCTAGTCTCCTTTAAGCCAGTGGCCCCCTTTCCCCAATGAGTCTGTGTTCTGATCAGTGACTGGTGGAATCATTAAGGAACTAAGGCACCACAAACCTTATCTAGGTTAATTCTCACACAAGTCCTCCCTGAGTATCTCTGTTACGATTGGCTCTCTGTATCCATGGGACATTGGTTCTAGGACCCCTTTGTAGATAACCAGATTTTCAGATGCTTAAATCTTTTATATAAACTGGTATAGTCTTTGCATATAACCTGTACACATTTTCCTGTATACTAGTAAATCATTTCTGGGTTCTAACACCTATTGTACTGTAAATGTTATACATGTAGTTGTTTAGCAAATAAGGACAAGGAAAATCCAAATATGGCCAGCACAAGTACTATTGGATATTTTGTATCTGTGAGGCTTGAATCTGAAGATGTGGAAATAATGGGTATGAAGCGCTGACTGTATATCCATAAGGAGGTGGGGGACCAATAAGGTGAAGGTGAAGAGGCTTCAGGAGCCTGAAGTAGTGAATGGTCCAGCCAAAATTCAAAGCCAGTGACTTCAAGACTCAATGTGTCTGTCACAGTACTGTCTGTCACAAGGAAAGTAGCCCAGGATGATGTATCCAAGAACCAGAGTGAGAAACAGTGAAGACCTGCTCCACTGTGACTTCCTAGAATCCTGCCTTGGATCCCCCCAAATAGGCAGAGTGCCTTGCCCTGGGGACAGAGGCCACCCTGGCCCCTGGCAGGAGTAGCCATAGCAGGTGACTTAAGCAGGCTGGGGAAATCCAAGGAGGTTGGTAGTGATGTTGGGGCGGGCAGAAGTCTGTGGCTTGTCCACAGGATGTCCACACTGGCCAGGTGCTTCTGCTGCTGCTGTTGTCGCTGCTGTTGGCCATCTGCCACCTGCCTGCTGGGAGGCCATATGGCCCGGCTACATTGCAGCCAGACCTCCCGACTGTCCTCAGCTTCACTCAGGTCACCTCTTCTCTAGTCCCTGTCCTAGAACTCTAGGATAGACTGTGAATTTTCTTTCTCTCTTTAGTCCCCAAACCTGTTTTGGTCCTCCGCCTTCTGAGATTTTCTTGTCTAAGGAAACAAGAGTTACTTTGTGAAACCACTATATTCACTTTCTCACCCCTGAGGAGTCCCAAACACTGACCGGACCTAGAAGGATCGAGAACGAACAATCATTTAAGGCCCTTGGTGGTATGAGGAGAGAACTTTGATTCAGCTCCTGGGTACTTGAGCAACCTTGAGCATGCCACTACACTTCTCTAGGCTTTGGTTTCCATATGTACAGCTAATAGCTTGAACTTAGAACTCTCGAAGAGCCCCTCTTCCTCTAGTTACATCCAGTTTATAAGCACACGTGGTACTTCTACTACTTGTTCTTTGATCTTGAGGCAATCTCCCCTCTGCAAGGGTCAACTCAGTGACCCCTTTGTGTCTGTTATATCTGTACCCTTTAAATTCCCTCTAAGAAGCCATTCCATTCTGAGCTGCTGTTCACTTCTAAGCCTACTGTCCCACTTTGCACCCCTGCCTGCCTGCCATCCAGTGTGTCCACAAGTGATGGGGCAGAACGCGCCTCAGAAGCAAGGTGCTCTGGGACACTCCTTGGGTTAAGTGGAAGAAGACACTGCTCTGGCATTCACTCTTACCTCATTGTGAGGTATTCCTTTGAAGACCACCAGTTCAGCCAGGCTTGGCATCTTTTCAACCTACACTAGCTCTTGTTTTAATGGGAAGGGACAAATGGTCAGGGGATGTTTGCAAGTAATCCCAAGAACTCCCTGCCTACATGCTCAGGAAATAGCTGTTACCTGGTTCTTCTAACAGGACAGTGAGCAGCCATGTATACAAGGGCAGGGTGCCTGCAGAAAGCTAAGGTTCAGGCAGCCCGGCTCCATCCTGCTATGGTCCTGTAGCAAACCTATGCCACCTGCAGCCTCGTTGGCATCTGACATATGTTTCTGTCATTTTTAAGGATCCAGCTGCTAGGAAGATAGGGTTCAATTACAGGACATCTGACCTCTATTTTAGGACTCAGCTACCTAGCCCGTACCCAGACCCATGCAACTCAACCATACAGAAGCTCCTCTACCCACACTGGGATCCTGTATCTGCACTGGACAGCTCCTGGGTCCTGACTGAGGAGGGTGTGTCCTCCCAGTGTGCCCCGCGGACTGGTTTTGTTTTGTGTTTTTCTTTTCTTTTCTTTTCTTTTCTTTTTTTTTTTGCAAACTTAGAAGAAACTGTGTCAGTTGCCCCATCTGTTACCACCAGCCCCCAGCTAGTGTTTGCATGCACCTCCTTCTCACCCCACTGAGCTCACCTGAGGAGGACCTTCCCTGGCAGAGTCCAGAGGAGAAGGAAGAGGGTTGCAGGAACAAGAGTTGTCATTCTGCAGGGACCTTGTAGTCCTTTCTCAGCCTGGCTGTCAAGGTGAGAGCAGGTATCCCTGTGGGAAAGGCAACAGTACAGAGCCCTTCTCCAACTTGGGCTGGAATAAGGAGCCTGCCTTTCCTCTCCTGCCTCTTTTCTGCCCTGCCCTTAGCAGTCAGGGTCTAGAACTGTTCCCCTGGAACTGAACCTGACACAAATAACCCCACTAGCTCCAGCTCCGGCTCCGGCTTAGACTTGTCTTGGACTGAGGAGGGCCTTAGCCTGCCGGTTAGGGAGCCAGAAAAGATTCTCTTTGGGTAGGAATCACTCTGCAAACACTGGAGAGTCTTGGAGGGGAGGGAGGAAGGAGCCAGGCAGAAAGATGTTTCCCTCCCTCCCACATCCCCCTAGATGCACCCTCCGAAAGCAGCAATTTAAAGGCACAGTCGCCAGCAGCTGGAGTGGGGTTCCCAGCTTGTCTGAGTTCTGGGGAGGAGCTTGGACTGCTGAGCTGCCGCTTGGGGAGAGCCTGAGGTGTTAGGTCCAGCCTCCAACTGTCCAGGAGGGATGCTCACGCATAGAAAGCCTTGTTCCCCCTGTACACAACAGCTTTCTTTTCACCGTGGAGCCAAGGTGCGGCACTAAAGTAAAGTCCTAATGCTTTTTCTAAGGGAAAAAGACCTCAGAGGGGTCGTGGTGGAGCCCCAGGGTATCCTAAAGATGACGGTTTCGGGTCAAATGGAGGCGTAGCGGAGGCTGACTGCAGGGGCTGCCTTTCTGTCCCCTCTGGATGGAGGCATGGAGGATGGCGGCCCACAGTTGCCCCTCTCTTTACCTGCCCAGTCCTATCATTCTCCTAGCCCCCTTCAACCTGGTAGTTCTGCATTCTCTCCTCTGCTAGGTTTCCCTCCCTCAGGTAATCTCTGTGGAGTCTGTCACCTGTTGTCGCTCTCAAAATCCTTCCTCCTCAGTATCTGGTCCCAGGACTGCTTGTGGGAAGGGACGACTGTCCTGGGTAGAGGTAAGGGCCAAGCATAGCTGGGACATTGGCTTTGTAAGCTTTCGAGGAATCATGGGCCGGAAGTGAGGTGGGGAGGACAGTGCTCGAAGCCCCACAACCCTAGGTGGAGGAAGAGAGCTGGAGTGTGACCTTGCTTTCTGCACATTTGCCCGTGCCATCTAGATGCTTAAGGATGTTTTCTTCTGTCTGCCTGTCCAATTTTCCCCGTGCATCATCAAAGGAAGCACAGAGACTTCCCCTGGTGCCTGTCCCTCCCTGCTTTGGTCTCGACGTCTCTTCCTCTCTCTGAACTTTTCCATCATCCACCGTTTATTTCCATCTCAGTTTTCCTCTGTTCCTTCTCTGAATCTCACCTCCTATGTTTGTCTCCCCCTTTGTTTCCCCTCTCTTTCATCATTTTCATTCTCTAGCTCCCCTGTATCTTCAATCTCTCACACTTCCTTCCTTAATTATAGCAGTGAAAAACCAAAGGCTTTCTTTTCTTTCGGTGGAAATTCCTACCTGCTCTGCAGAGTTTAAGTGTGTGCCAGGCGGGGGGGGGGGGGGGGCGCGGGGGGCGTCAGTGCCACTTTATACGGATCATTTTGTCACCCGGCTGGCTGTAGTAGCTTCTCCAGCCTCTCCAGAAAGAGATTTGGGAAGATTGGATGCTCTTGCCCAGGGGCTCCTATTGCCTATATAGAATGATTAATAACAAGGCATTCATGTACAGCAGCTGCTTTTTTTTGCTGTGTTATTATTAAGGAAAAGGATTTTTCAAATTACAGATGAAATCCAAAGAAGAGAATGTTCAGGAATAAATGCTGAAACACTGATGAGTGAGCTGAGCTTTTGGAATTGGGACGGCGAATGCTAAATGCTCCAATGCTTGTATGGTGGGTGAAAGCAAAATACTAATCACCCTGGTAACGTCTCTAGCCACCCTTTCACCTCCTCACCCTTCCTCCTTGTTTCCCTTAAGCGTCGCATAACCCACTTTCAGGCAGGAGCAGAGCCTGGAACCTTTCAGGGCAGAGCAGCAGGCTGGGAAGCTGAGAAAAGGGTATAACTTCCCAACCCTCTGACAACCCTGATCCTGTGTCTTTCCTTGCCCTAACAGCACCCCCACTTCTCTCAGATTGTAAGATGAGACCCTGTGAAATTATCTGGCCATATTTTTCATTTCACTGATTTCTCCAACACTGTCTGCTCTAAGCGTCTTCCCAGCCTCGGGATACTTTCACATGTTGCCTACCAAGTATTCGTCCCTATATTCTTACCCATCTGGACTCGGAGTTCTTGTTGCTTTGAAAAGCAAGACGTCTGGAACCACCATGACTGCCCTTAAGGCTTGAGTTAGGAGACCCTTTGTGCATTCTCAAGTCCCTTCTCTTCCTTCCCACACTCGGATTTCTGTGCCTCTCCCCCACTCTGTCAAGAGCACCCTGAGAGCAGAGACACATTTTCTGCCAAATCCACAGCACAGGATAGGCAATTAGGGAACACTTTTTAAATGATGCACCCTTGGCACCCAGATCCTCAACTTTACCACCTATGAATCACTCTCTGTCAAGTCAGAATGATAAGTTTGACATACAGAGAAAGGACCAGCATGAGGCAGTGGTAATAAGGAGAAAGGAGGAAGCTGTTTTTATTCACTTGCCCCTTGGGCCCCGTGGCCTCACATTCAGTCATCTGGAATTCTTGGCTAATGGAAGGCATAGTCCCCTGGGGACTGGTCCATTGTTGCAGGTCTCACCTCCTCTGTGCCCCATGGGATCCCTGAGAGCTGAAAGCATGGCAGGGTCAGCTTCCTGGGAGGACAGATTCTTTCTCATGAGAGGCTGCAGCAACGAGCAAGTGTCTGGCTGGTCTGATGAAGAGAGGTACAGCCTTCCTAGGGTGCCCAGGGGCAGACTCTGAATAAAGAAGGAAACAAAAAAGCTAAGGAAGCTGCTGCTTGGTATTGGCAGCAATCAGCTGAGATGCTAATTTCAAAAGTTGCTGTACCAAAAAAGAAGCCATTTCTCTGAAATGATGGTAGTAGAAGAATCCAAAATTGTGTCCAGCCTTGACCTATAACTGCTTTTCCTTCTCATTACCATACTCTGATGTGCACAAATCTCCACGTTCTGAAAAGGACTGTATCTTTTCCACCTTGGCAATTGGATGCTGCACTGACATGAGAGCTGGCTTCCATGCATTGCTGAAGTGGTATCGAAGTTACAATAAATAGTGTTTTCATTATTTTGTCTTGAAAAAATTACTTCTGTTGTAATTACTATTGTAAGTACTATAAGTGTAGTTTTGTAAGAGCTAGAAGTGCATTAAACATATTTTCACAAATGTTTAATTCAACAAATGGAAGCCATCAGTTTCAGTTATGTATAGCGAAAATTGCACCCTGCTGACAAGTAGACTTCCAGAAACTTCCATGTGAGTAGCATTTCAATATTAGAATGGGTATTGTTTATAAATTCTGTGACTTCTGAGCTGCACTTGAGGAGGCAAAATTGGAGAATGGTTTGGCTTAGCTTCCTGGACCTATTCCAGTAACTATGGATGCTGTGGTCCTGATGTTGCTCATTTCACTTATTGAAGTAGAGTAGACTGAGACACACCTCAAAAAAGTAGGCTGTATTCACAGTTGGAGAAAACTCTCAGGCTTAATGAAGTTTTTGGAAGCCATGGGATAGGAAGTTGAAAGGTGGTGTGTATGGAAACAAGAGAGAGACATCTTTGAAGAAATCTATGGCTGCTGACCATAGTATTTGTTAGATCTCCAAGGAACATGGCTACATCGTCTTTCTGTATGTGAGATTTCCCTCTCAGAGTCATTTTTAACTTTCAAGGATGTGATAGTTTACGTGACAGTAGGAGCTCCACTTGGTGCTCCGGAGCATTGGCAGCAGAGGCAGGAGGCCCGTTAGCCCTCCAGATATTGGAAGATGGGGCAGAGAGTAGGGCAGGGTACAGTGTCAGATGCTGGGAGTCTCACAGTGCTAGATTCAGGTGGTGCAAGGGAAAACAAGATTGTATGTGTTAGAAATATTCACCCAAGCTTTGGAGAGTGACTGGTTCAAGTTTGATGCTTCAAAGATTTGACCTGCTTTTCTTGAAACATTTCAGGCATGGACTTTGCAGGGATAGTGTGGGATTATAACTTGTGGGAGGCCTGTGGAGAGGTTAACTGAAATCCTTTCAGTCTTCAAGGACAGGGCAGCTCTCAGCACCAGAACAACATCAGGGGGCAACCCCTGTCTTTGTTGCTGGATTCTGTATTCAGTATCCAGGATAGGTCAGTGAGGTAGTGCTCTAGCTATAGAATATGTATCGAGTAGCACTGAGGTGTGCATTGTTTCTCCCTGCTGCATTCTCAGAATCATCATTCACTCCATTATTCATTTGAGGGCAATTTACTGGCTGTGCAGAAGTTTCATTAAGGTTTCCCACAGAGTTTGCATTGATTCTCCTCAACTCTTGGCTTTTATAACTCTTCTACATTCTTGTTCAGAGTTGATAGGACCATGTCACGACTCTTCTCACATCTAAATTTTCCTTTTGTTTGTGGCTATGCTTGTGAATATCTTACTTCATTCATTTGGGCATTGCTGATCATCTGTGACTGTGTAGAATGAGAGGCCCTTACATAGCAAAAGCAACAGAACTTAGAAAAATCAATATTTATTGTACCAAATGGATTTCATTTCTAGTAGTTCATGCATGTGATCCACAAAGATGTGTTGAGTGTAAATCATATAGCAGATGTTCTAGTTACCAGAGATATAATGGTGAACAAAGCAGATGTCTGTGCTCTTGTGTAGTGTGTATTTTAGTGGGTTAGTAATATAATTCCTTTCCAAGAGGGTTTCTGCATGGATTATCAGGTCCAGTCCTGAGTGCCTCTCATAGCATCTGAGAGGTTACATATTATAGAGCATAGAAAACAAGCAACTTTTCAGCAGGCAATAGTGAACTTCATTTCCATTTACTGCAGAATCTGCCTGCTAGTGATGACATAGCTCATCACTCTCCAGAAACCCTCCCAAAATCCTTATATTCTCTCCAGCAATCCAGGCGTAAACACATTCTCCTTATTGGGAGAGTTAGGTGAGGTTAGCAGCACTGTTCACTGTGGGGCCTCTCTAAGTAGTTTCTGATTGTTTAGGATTGTAGTTCCCTGCCTTTCCCCTCCTTCCTACCTTTATTTTAGATTTTCTTTCTTCCTTTCTTTTTTCATCATGACTTAATTAAATGTCCACTGTGTTAAGTAGGACACCAGACACTGAAGCAAGGAAAACATTGTGACTACATAGAGTTACATACAAAGTTGAGTTTGGACTAGTTACACAAATAATGTATATAGAGCTGAGTCTGGAAAATTT